CTCATACAATAGAGTAGTATACAACATGAACTATTGATGAAATGCATATGGCACTCATACATAAGGATGAATCACAAAAAAATATTCTTTTGAATAAAAGAAACAAATCACAACATGAGTCAATTTGTACAAATTCAAAATATGTAAAACTATATATACACACACATATACACACATATGGGAACACATATATGAGTTATATATCCACATATACATTCATATGTAAGATATGCATATATGTAGTAAAACAATAAGAAGAAACAAGGACACGATTAACAAAAAGGCAAAATAGTAGTTATTTCTGAAGGAGAAGGAAGGGGACATAATTAGGAAAACAAATGACATGAAGCTCCCAAATTCCTACAAATGTTTTACTTTGTCTGAGGGCCCAAGTACACAGTAGTTCCTTTTGCTTATTATTTAAACTGAGAAGATAACATTTTATATATTTTATGAATAGTATCTATTTCAGTAATATACATGAAAGAAAAGTGAATGATGAGGTATAGCCATTGATGCCTCAAAGAGTTTGGGCCACGCCACAGTGTGTTTCATTGCATAACTATATTAATCCATTCTCATGCTGCTATTAAAGACATACTTGAGACTGCATAATTTATAAAGGAAAGAGGTTTAATGGACTCACAGTTCCACATGGCTGGGCAGGCCTCACAATCATGGCGGAAAATGAAGAAAGAACAAAGGGACGTCTTACATGGCAGCAGGCAAGAGAGAGCTTGTGCAGGGGAACTCACATTTACAAAACCATCAGATCTCATGAGACTTAATCACTATCACAAAAACAGTATGGGGGAAACTGCTCCACGATTCAGTTATCTCCACCTGGCCCCATCCTTGACACATGGGGATTACTACAATTCAAGATGAAATTTGGGTGGGGACACAGCCAAACTATCTCAGTAACTTACTGAAAAGTACAGCTGACTCCAAGTCTGACAGTAGATTCATTCTTGAACACTTTACACTGGCGATTGTGGTTGTGACAATTTTATTTCCAGATAGCCATTACTGCAATTCATGTTCACTATGTTACTGTTGCAACAAAAAAAGCTGCCCTAGAATGTGACAGCCATAGTTGACAACTGGTCTAGGAGGTAGGACAGGAGAAGGATGCCTGCCTCAGACGTTCCAGTGGGGCATGCAGCAGATTGTTGGCACTTTCTTTTGAGAGGCAACTAATGCCTTTCAGTTTGTAAATGAACAGACATTAGTTGGAAGATGACCTGCCCTGAGTGTGCTGGCACAGGTAGCAGCAGTAAGGGCAGCATTCCAAGGAGCCTGTAAAATAAGCAGGCTAAGGTGACAGAACAGAAGATGAGTTCTCAGAGCCAGGGAAGCAGCCTGGGCCCAGGAGATGGCTCCAGGAGCAATTTAAATGATGAAGTGATAGGCATTCAATACAGGGGAAACGCAGAGGACAGTGCAATCAATCACTGCCAAGCTCATCTTCTGACAAGGAGTGGGGCTCCAGCTTCCAGATGTAGCATTAAAACATAATGTTCCCACTGGGGTTTAGCATGGCAGGTTTCCCTGAAACTTCAGTTTCACTCAGTTAACTAATTATGAGAAAATGTGACATTGGTATTTACTTTTTCTACAGGGACAAATCATTCCCAGCAGGAGGGACAAGTTGTTATTTTTGTTATGCTTTGTTGTGTCATTAAAAAGAAATTAACTTACACAGTAGTAAATATACTCTTGTTGGAGGGGCGGGGGGAAGAATTATCTCCATAGTTCTCTCCATTCAATTATGTCTTTGGTTTTCCAGGGACATGGCGGATAAAAGAGAGTTAAGAGTTTTGTTGTTAGAATTGGGTCTGAAAATTAACTTTCTCACCTATTAGCTATGTGACCTTAAGCAAGTTATTTAAGCACTCTGAGCCTGCTTTTGCAGCTGTGAAACTGGGGGTGATGCATCCACTACAGAGTGTTATTTGTGAAAGATGAAAGGACATAAGGCGGTTGGAGCACGCGAGCACAGTGCTTCTGCATAATAAGCACTCAATACAATTTAGCCTTTATTCTTAGTGACCCTGATGTGCTATTATATAAATATAGAAACAGTTTATGTGTCATTTAGACCTTGTGTTGCCAATTCTATATGACCACACATCTAATCATCAACTGAGCCTTTACTCTGGCACTATAAGCTACATGGTGTATTAAACATTTTACTCTTTCTCACCCCGATGTAATAAAAGGTTTCCAGAGAAAATTTAATGAAAATGAAAAAAACGGTTACGTTCTCCCATCCTCTTTTAACTTTTCAAGGGCGGAACGTAATCCCGAGCAAAACATCACAGATAAATCTGTGCTTCCTCTTCTACTGCCTGAATGCTAGAGAATAATACTATGTTTGGGGTGCTTTTAACAAATCAGAAAGTGATTTTACAAATGATTTCTCAACTGAACTTGATACAATCCCTGAGGTACACAGTTTCTGATTAGCCCCATCTTACAGACAAGGAAAACAAAACAAACAAGATAAGGTCAATGACAAAGCCACTGTATTCAAGCTCTCTATGCAAGAGTACCATGAGAATGAAAAATACCAGGGTTATTGGACATGGCAAAATTAGATTTTTCCAAGAATAAGTTCTTGTCTTAGAGCCGAAGTGACTAGTTATTACAGAGGGAGGACTAGCTGAGGAAAGTAAACAAAATAGAAAATCAAGAGACATAGGTTTTATATTCCAATTTCACAATCCATTTGCCCAACATGCCTTAAATTTTCTACCAATAAACTTGAGAAACAAAAATTGCTACTTCTCACCTCTCTCACAAGTATATTGCAATGCCATTATTGTATACAAATAACACGTAAGACTGATGCTATAACATTCAAGGGGTTTTATACTAGCCATAGTACATATGAGCTCTTAAAAATGTATAAATAGAAGGAAACATATTTTGAGTGGTAGATAGAAAATTCTGGCAATAAAGAAAAAATATTTTTTTTCAAGAATATGTGGGCTAGAAAATGATGAACAACTACATAAGATTAGGTAAATCATCACTATAATTTTGCATTATGTACTTGAATTATTTTTGGAAGTCACAGAAACAAACTAAGAGGTATGAACATGTAATAATTTTTTGAAGCCATGAAATTATAATGGACCTGTAATATCAATAATGTTTCTTCAACTAATCACATATAAGGTTCTTAAAATAATCAATTCTGAAGTGCTCTTAATCTTCCAAGCAAGTCTTTCTGGTAGCAGTCACCCTTTAGGACTTCAAAGGACCCTGACATATGCCCCCTATTATTTCATAACCACTTAAGAAGTCTTAGTGGATTATCAAATTATAATTCACAAGTTTCCCTCAGCCACCATTTCTGTCTGAATGGGGAATAAATTCTTATAGACAGAAAGGCAAAGACAACCAAAAGTCATTAAAGGGAATCCTAGTTCAAAATAAAAACCAAACACAAGCTTCTAGTTTATAATGTGAACATGGAAGCCCAAGGGCCTACATAAATGTGCAAACACCTAGTAATACCAGCAGCAGTCAGCAAAATAGCACATAATAGCAGGTTGCCATTAGGTGATCGACTACCTAATTCTGACTTAATGGGCCTGAACATAATTTTCCCTATGATTCTTCAGAGAGAATAATACAATTTCGTTCCAGTATTCAGTCAGATTTCACAATGTAGCAGTAGAAGAGGCCAGCCTAAAACTCCTTCTCCCTTTTCTTAATTCATTCATTTAATAAACTTTTTCATTGTTTGCTATTTGCTGGAAACTATATCAAAGAACTCACAGTCAAATAGGGAAAACAGGTAAATAAAGCATGAAATTTGTGCATTAAGCCCTAGAATGTAGAAAAATATTTGGCACAATGATAAGCAGATCAGCAAGCCCTCACAGAGGATGAGGTAAGGCGCGTAGAAACTGTCTATGTGGCAAAAGAAGAAGCCTCCTGTCAGAGAGAACAGTATGGATAAAAGCAGGGAGATGTGGAAAAGATGGTGAGCTCCAGAAATTAGATGTAGAATTAGATGTAGTGTCACATGGCTGGAAAACAGATCATGGGTAGAAGAAGGGAAAAGATGGTAAATGAAGCAATAAGCTGTAAAGGAAGACAAATATTCCATTATTTAGTGCTTGCTAGTCCATGTTAAAATACAATATTGAAAAGCTGAACACAATTATTGGTTGGCTGGAAAGATTTCATTCTAAAGGCAATAGGAGCAGATTTTTACTATAGAGCAATCATTTTGGTGCCAGCCAGGTATACAGTGATCTAGGGAAAAGAAATCTAGAGGTATGGATACCAATTATGAGATAATTTCCAAAGTCCAAGTAAGATACAAAGGTGCCCCAAACCAAAGTTCCATATAGCATATTTGTAAAACAACTGTATAGCACAACTGACTCATTATAGCCACTTAACATTTTTGTGACTGACTGGATAAATGAACAATTCCAAAGGTGAGATGGAACAAAACAAGATATTTTCTCTTTTGAGTGAAATAGCTGTATCTTAAAATGCAAACAATTCATCTCAACTGGATAACAACAAATACCACTGACTGCTTGCCTTCCTTTCAGACTTAGAGTGCTCTTTGCAAATGAGCGATTGGAACATGATCCCAGTGTCCAATCTGGAAGGCACTGTAGGGAATACCTACCATAAACTCTCATTTTAAGGATAAAAATCTGAGTCATAAAAATTACAGGACTAGCCCAAAACCACAAAAAGTTTCTGCTGATGGGACTGAAATCAGTCAGAATAAATTAAGGCTTCACAATATTTGTCAACCAGACTGGTTGGAACAGATTTGAAAGATATCAAATTCAGCTAGGGTGATTTAAGTTTTTAAAAGTGTTTGACATTTCACATTCGAAAACCACAAAGCCAACATCTTAGAGACATTTTCTTAAACAATTATTTGCTCTTACAATTAACTGCAAAGACCAGGGGTCAAGTTTTAATCCTGAATTGGTATAAATAAGACAGATGATTCTTACCATGATCTTCTGAAGAGACTGGTGACCTAAAAGGAAATAATAAGCATGATCAATATTTTATATGATAATTATAACAATAATCAAGAATTATTTCATAGTAATTATACCCCCAAATTGAATTAAATGGAAAGTCAACATAGTAGACAGTGTAATTAATGTGTTGATTGCATGGTATATTTCAATCAACAATTCCCAACTCTTACCTGGATTGGTTGAATGTTACAGGTTACTCAAATGTCAGTCTATGCATGGTGTCCTAGGGCTGCAACAAACTTAGGTAAGTCTACATTTACCACACACAAAAAAGAGAACTCATAGAAATGTAGTATAGATGAGATCCTGTGATGTGTATTGCCCAAGGACACGGCTCCAGTGTAAATGCCAGGGATGTAAAAAAAAAAAAAGCACTAGATTGGGTGCCTGTAGATACAAAGAGATCTACTTGAACAGTATAAATTGAGACAAAGGTAAAAGAAACAGCATGCACCCTTATCATTACCAGTTTTTGTTTCCACTCTTCATGGAATTTAATGTTTGAGTGAGCTGACCCTCTACTTGCTGCCTTATGTCTCAGAACGTGGGAGAAACAGCATGAGGCAAGAAGGCAATCGCTGGGGTTCCACAGAACTTGACCAACAACTTTTGCAAACTATATGTGAGTTCTGCTCTAATTACGGTAACCAGATCACAAATGAAAAAATCATATCAACCCTAAAAGGCTTACTTCCCCTCTGTTGACTACTAGTTGAAATACTTTGAGTAGTATAGACCTAAGTTTGGAGATGAATTCACCTCCAGCTTGAAGACTATGGCTTTGACTCACACTTATTCTTTTTGGGGGAGAAAGAGAGAGACATATAACGTTATATTCAGAGTTGTTGAAATTTCGAAGGGAAAGGCAAGACGTCACACACTTCCCCTATTTTGAAGGAGTCCTCTTCCCTGAATGATTAGCTCACTCAAGTCCATAGCAGGGAAATGACCAAAGATAAACTCAGGAGTTTGGCAATAAAGCTGCCAATTACTATAACTAATATTTATGAGACATGAAGATAAACCGCAGGGCACGAATCATTTAGTCAATACAAAAATGGTTGAAGATAATTTTTAGCTACTTGGGGAGGCTTGATATGACTTTACCTACTGGTTAGTATTATTATTGTTTATTATATGAGTGAACAGTAAAGAATAAAGACAGTAGTAATGGAGAAAAGGCCTTGAACCTCAATGAGTGGCAAAGTATCAACTTATTTCAACTGTGCAAGTCTCTTAAAGTAGACTTTTTCATGAAAACTACAGATTCCCAAGATTTGGTGAAAAGAAAATTGGCTTCTGGGAGATGGACATGGGGAGTGGTGAGCAGAAACCTGCCACAATCCCTAAGTCAACACTGCCCGAGAAACATCACTTGGCCTCCCTGGTGAGGGTTGATTTATCCTCCCATTGGATCCACTTATTTTGTATCATCCACATACCAGCCTTTCTCACTGGGTTGTAACCCCCTGGAAAACTAAGGCTGTATCTTATTTAGAACAAGTGAGCCCTTAATTAAAATGTGTTGAGTTGAATTAATCTCAGTTCTGTCACACTGATATTCAGACTGACACATTCTGGAGCTTCCCAAAAAGTCATCATGTTACTGTCAAACCATCTTTAGGACAAGTTTGCCTGCTCCTAGGTCAGCTGCAAGAAAAAGTCCTAGAGAATGTGCTTGAAGCTCCAATTAGTTATAATGTGGACACTCTCAGAGCCAAAGGACATCAAAAGCACCCAGAAACAGAGACACCCCTATTCTGCCTTAATAATTAGAAAAACTAAAGTGTGCCAGGGGGGTAGTATTGAATGAGAGGTGAAATGAAATTAGAAGCTGAATCTAAAATAAAACCTATATTTTAAATAAAATAAGCTAATTTCTTCAGCTATTTAGGTCATAATAGAGTTAGCCACAAGGAAATATCTTTCCTCCTGGTGTTTGCTGATGAGAAGTCAGTAAAAACGTGTCTTGGATTGTTTGCAATTAATTTGTCACAGAGCTACAGGAAGAAAGTAAAATTCATGCCAAAGGACAACTAAATGTCTCAGGTGGAGAGCTTGTGAAGCAGAGCCTTTGCTGGCTTTCTGCAAAAGCAAAGCACTGATATTCAATCTGAAAAATTCCAGATGGCTCCGTTAGAGTCCCAAGGGGATGCATTCTGCAGTATGTCCAGGCAGTGGATAAAATATCAATTTCAGACTGTTTTGTGAAAATTAGTCATGTTGAGTTTCCATGTTGAATGTCTCCCATATGCCTGGCTTTGTGGAATTTTAAGACATATGGAGTATTTCCATCCTCACTCAGTATTTCACCTTTCGCTGCAACAAGTTACTGCATTGTACTACTGAGATGTGCACATCATCCATTATTGCTGGAAATTGGCATAAAAAGTTAGCTCACGGGTGCATCACCTGAGGTCAGGATTTCGAAACCAGCCTGGCCAACATGGTGAAATCCCATCTCTACTGAAAATACAAAAAGTAGCTCGGTATAGTGGCAGGTGCCTGTAATCCCAGCTACTTGGGAGACTGAGGCAGGAGAATCACTTGAACCCGGGAGGCAGAGGTTGCAGTGAGCCAAGACCGTGCCATTGCACTCCAGCTTGGGTGACAAGAGTAAAACTCTGTCGAGAGAGAGAGAGAGAAAGAGAAAGAGAGAGGAAGGAAGGAAGGAAGGAAGGGAGGGAGGGAGGGAGGGAGGGAGGGAGGGAGGGAGGGAGGAAGGAAAGAAGGAAGGAAGGAAGGAAGGAAGGAAGGAAGGAAGGAAGCTAGCTAGCTCAGGAGAGAAGAAATATTCTGAAATCAGCAATATAAGTAGTTATTTTAACAACAGAGGTTGAATCCCAGAAACAGATAATTATCTTAAACCTGACAACTGAGGCATGCAGGAAAGCCCCCCGGTTATTCTTTTCACCACACCTGAAAGACATGTGGTTTTATCCTAGACTGTTTATTTTTCCACTATGTATACTTTATCTTGGAGCAAGTATCTGGCCTTATAATGTAAACCATTACTAGCATTCTTATAGCTGTCCTCTACTTCTTTCCTGATCATGAGTCCTTTAGCTACAGAATATTTATATTGTTTCTGCTTAGTTTTTATTTATGTTGGTACTTTCTACATTTTATTTTGCTTAAATGCAGCAAAATAATACAAAACAAAACTTCAAGCCGTGCATTTAAAAATGTTTCTCCTATTAAGCCTAAATCATTATTATTCAGGTTTGACTCTCTCCATTCATGTTGATTCAGTTTATTACTTGAGACCCTATTATTACCAGGCCATGTGCCAAGGGAAGGAGACACAAAGAACAATTTCAGGGAACTCATAATCTAGTGAAAAAGGAAAATATGCAAACAAATGATTATAATGTAAAAAATATATAATGATCAAAATATATATGAAGCAAAGAGGTAGCACAGAGGACAGAGAGATTGATTCGGTATGAAAAGTGTGAAAGAAGGCTTAGAAAACCAAGAATCATCTGAACTTCGCTTTGAAGAACAAAGAGGAGCTTATTAGGTAAGTTAGGAAGAAGAACTCCAGGCAGAATAGCAATAGGTGTGTGAAAAGGAGTACAGATATGAAATTGCATAGAATCCTAACAGATATACAAGTAACTCAGTATTGCTAGAATGTAAAGGAGTAATAAAAGCAAGGACTCGAAAAATAAGTGGCAGGGGCCATTTCATACAGGGTATGTGGGGCCCCTGTGAAGTGCTTGCAATTTACCTTCTAAGCTAAATGGAGCAAGCTTGTGAGGCAGAGAAGTCACACATTCTGGAATGAGCAGGCAGTGGAGAGTGAACCATAAAAGAACAAGAAGACAAATTAAAAGGCAGAGGTCAAGTTAACACTGTAACTGAAAAACTTCCACGTTAGTAACACAGAAAAAAAAATTCCTCTGCCCTTCAATTTTTTTTTTTGAAACCCATGGAAAATGACAGGGTGGATGAGAAACAGTAAAAGAAATATCCTCGGCCGGGCGCGGTGGCTCACGCCTGTAATCCCAGCACTTTGGGGGGCCGAGGCGGGCAGATCACAAGGTTAGGAGATCAAGACCATGGTGAAACTCCGTCTCTACTAAAAAATAGAAAAAAATTAGCCGGGCGCAGTCGCGGGTGCCTGTAGTCCCAGCTACTCGGGAGGCTAAGGCAGGAGAATGGCATGAACCCGGGAGGCGGAGCTTGCAGTGAGCCGAGATTGCGCCACTGCACTCCAGCCTGGGCCACAGAGCGAGACTCTGTCTCAAAAAAAAAAAAAAAAAAAAAAAAAAAAAGAAATACCCTCTTTGATTAAATTATAAGCCAAAACCATCATACGTGAAGAAGAGCTACCAAGTACAGTCAAAATAGAGCTAAGTTTTAGGGAAACAGATAATTTTGATTTTAGTCAGCTAAAGATATATAAACTATTTTATACACAACAAAACCTATGGCAGAAAGCCTTCCACTTTGAGCCAGGGTGTCCTGCTAGCCAGAAGTAGACCCAAACCTAGAAGAGGTTGCTGCTAAGTAAAAGTTTGAAGATAAGAGAGACAAAGTCAAACTTAAGAGCAGCACACCAAATCACTAAGCCCAATCATCCATCCCAAACTAGAAGCTCAAAAAAAAAAAAAAAAAAAAAACCTCACCCAATGCAAATATTACAAATAATAATGGTAAAAAACCAGCATGACATCTATGCAAAAATACCAGAGGAGAAAACAAAACACAGGCAAAGAACACACTAAAAAGATGATGGCATAAAGCAGATAAAAATTATTAATAAATCTTTGTGAAATTTAGAAATGGAGGGAAAGAGGGAGGGAGGGAGGGAAGGAAGGACGGAAGAAGGGAGGGAGAGAAGGAGGGAGGGAGGGGTAAATAGAACATTTGTGAAATATAAACTTAAAGAAGAAAAATGATCAAGAAACAGTTATAGGGAGGTGAAAAGAGCAAAAGTCTGCCCAGAGTCTTTGAACTAGTTGTTATTAAAGAAACTTGTGGCTTT